TTCCCTCACAGACCGACAACTCCATCACTAAAAAAGGAGTTCTTCATCAACATGTCACATGATCGCCCCGCTAAACAAGGGTACTTCCAGCATTCCCTGTTGTGTTTGCTAAATGAGACATCCTGTGTCATAAATCACATTCCCCAATGAGGTGCACCCCTCCCAAATCTGCTGCAGTAATCTGAGATCCGACTTCAGCCGACAGTACATGTGGAGCGCACTCCCTCCCTCTTCTCTCACTATGACAACGTTGGGAGTTGACATTAGGCTCACTCAACAACTGCAGTGATTCACTCAACAACTGCAGTGATTCACTCAGCAACTGCAGTGATTCACTCAGCAACTGCAGTGATTCACTTAGCAATTGCGGCAAGGAAGGCTGTAAAAAAAACATTTCTCTCCTTTTCCAGGAAACTTCAACGGACAAGCAGGAGATGACAACCTCATGGCCGATGGCACCTCGGCGGGGGCGGATGCCAACCAGCTGGGGAAGAGCTGGCAAGTGCCCAACATAGGTGATGCCAGGTGAGTCTTACGGCCCTCTCCTCTGCCTGAAGTGCCGGCCTCATCCCCAGGAAGAACCTCTGAAGAGGAAAATGCCAGCCTTCCCCTAGTACAGTGGCGGTGAACCTTCTCGGCATCGAGTGCCCAAACCAGAACGCCAGAGTCCTGGATACCCAAAGACCAGCTGCCTTCTGGAAAAGAACCTTTGGGACAGTTTCCGGCACGCCCATGCTCACCAGCCAGCTGGTCTTCGCGTGCGCCAGAGTACTGGAAACCCGAGGACCAGAATGGCCATGCCTGTTTTTTGGGCATTTTTCAAACCATTTTGGGTTGTTTTTTGGGGGGCCAAAAACAGCTTGAAAATGGTGTGAAAACAGCCCCCAAACAACCTCTCTTTTTTGGCCGTTTTGGGGGCCATTTTCAAAGACCAGCTGGCGACTGCGGACATGCCCACAGAGAGGGCACCGGGTGCCAACTCTGGCATGTATCAGGGCCCTAGTAACACCTAAGCTGGCCTGGCTGAGATTCTTTAAAAAAACGTTTTTACCTAATTTTATTTCAGGACTTGAAAGAGGGTAGCTGTAAGCACAATGGGGGTGGGGGTGGGGGTTTCCCCCCTTAAAATCCTCCGTGGTCTAACGCAGGGGTCTCCAAACTTGGCAACTGGAAGACTGGGTTGACTTCAACTCCCAGAATCCCCCTTGCACAAATGCATTTCCTTTTGATATGGATAGTACCCATTGTGGCCTGCTTACTCTCTCCTCATCCTTTCCTCTGCAATCTCTGTGTTTCTCAACCTTGGCCACTTGAAGATGTCTGGACTTCAAGTCCCAGAATTCCCCAGCCAGCGAATGCTGGCTGGGGATTTCTGGGAGTTGAAGTCCAGACATCTTCAAGTGGCCAAGGTTGAGAAACACTGCAGTCTAAGGAGAGAAAAAATAGGCATGGCTGACTGGGGATTTCTGGGAGTTGAAGTCCACAAGTCTTGGCCAAAAAACGGGGGCATTTTCCCCCAGCCCTGCTGAAGCCTGCGGAGTGGGGGAAAGCAAAAACGCCTCCGTTTTTGGGAAAAACAGCCCATTTCTAGGACCTCTCAGGTACTGGCTGGCATGTCCAAACCAATAAAAAGGGGGGGGGGGAATTACATTTTCCCAATGAAGATTGTTCTGCGCATGTGTAGAACAGAAAATAAAGATGGCGGGGCCCAGGATAGAACCAGTACGGTCAATATCTGGCCCAGTTGCTACCTATTCGGCCAAACCAGGTCCCAACTGCTAGGAACCCCCCCCTCTAACCCCTTCCCTCCCAGACTGGTCGTGGGAGGTGTCCTCCAGCACCTCTGGAGAACAACTGGTTGAAGAAGAAGGCTGCCCTTTCAGTGACTTGTTACAATCTCCCTCTGCAGCTGCACGGACTCAAAAGATCCCGAGAAATGCCACCCGGACATTGCAGAGGAGGCTCAGGGACCCACCAGTTGTGGGATTCTTACAGATCCTCAAGGTAGGAGCTCATTAGATTACACCCCACCCCTCCTCTCTTTTGTGGCTTTTTAGGAAGGGAGTAAAGAATAACAGAGTCGGAAGGGTCCTTTGAGGTCTTCTAGTCCAGCCCACCGCTCAAGCAGGAAACTCTATACCAGTGTTTCTCAACCGTGGCCACTTGAAGATGTCCGGACTTCAACTCCCAGAATTCCCCAGCCAGCTTTTTTTTTTCCACTTTTGCTGAAGTCA